GAATTTTAAAGAATTCCAATCTATTGTGGTGAGAAGGCATATGCTGTAGGAGTGCATTAGGGTTCTCCAAGGATGAGCGTGTACTTTCCTTCCCTGCTTTAAAGAATTGAAACAGTGTGGAAATTAGTATATAATCAGATTTATAATTACAGTGTAAAACACTTATGATATTAGGCAAGGCTGGGAAAGTTATCTAATTTTCAGTCCTCAGCTGCTTGTGTTTCCCCTCCCAACAGCTGTTTAGCTCTCTTGAAGTTCATAACTGGTAACTGGGTACTACTGTTCCATTCTGTTTCACTGAAAAGTTGCTGGAAAGGCAAGCAAGAGAGTCACAGAGCTTCCTGCACCCTAAAGCAGTGGGAAGGACAATCCCTTTCTAACTTGCTAGTCAAAGGTGTGGGAATTTGCCAAAAAAACTTTTGCCCTAATAAGGACACTGTTGATTTCTTCAAGAGAATATTCCAAAATAGGTTTTGCTGAATTTCCAGTAACACACTGGCATGTTTCTGAGGAAGAACCAGCAGACTCACAGTGCTGTGGTGGGCTTCAGGGAAGCCATAAGGTGGGCATGTCAGAGCCTGGGCCTCCCAAAAGCAGAAAACCAGGAGGATTTGTGTCCTCACAGCTCCTGGTAGGTCCAGTTTCCTTCACACACAGCAGCGATCCCTGAGAGCAACATCTCAGTGCAATGTCTCCTCTCCTGCTTCACACTGGAAATTTGAATGGTTCCCACCACATGTGCTCCAGCTCTGTGCTGGGCAGAAATTTGAAATGCACCTGGATGAAACACTTTACTGACCTGCTGCCCTTGGCTTCCCCAGCCACATCCTCGAGGCATCCATCTCCCAGATGTCATCCAGCACCAGAAACATGATGTTGCACTCTGGGGCTGCAGCAGGGGGTACAATCAGCAGGTACTGCAGGTCACTGACCTTGGGTCACCAGGTGTCACCCACAGCACCTCTGCCTTCAGAGGTACAACCTTAAAATCATTATTTCCAGGTGAGCAATGATGGATGGATGAGCTAAAGGTATAAAATCCCCTTTTTTCTCTCAGAGACCACAGTAACATTCAGCCCCACTTCCATGTCAAGCTCAGGTTTGCATTTTAACATATACATTGAGGAGCCTGTGTAAAAAAAAAATCTAATATTATGCTTTTGAATAGAGAATTTACCTAAGTAAATAATTATTTTTAAACCCAAGATTTAAGCAGCTTTAGTATTCCACATTATGCTAATGTTTGACAATTACTAAGTGTGGGTATCAGCCAGCATTTTTTTTTTAAGTTTAATTTAAAGCAATTTGACATGGAAAGGTTATTACTTTAGTTGCCAATAAAAGCTGTACTTTTAACATAAGTGTACACCAAGCCCTAGGGTATGTGACTATTATCTTTTCTGCAATTATGTGGTGTTCTACATAAATGTTTAAAAAAAAAAAAAAAAAAAAAAAAAACTTAGAAATATCAAAAGTACTAACTTAGCTGCAATATAAAAGTTGAATAGCAGAGCCGGGAAGCCCGGCTCCCGCAGACACAACACAGGTTGAGGTTTCCTCCTAGAGGTACCGCCGGGAACGGCGCCTCCGCCTGCACAGCATCACATCCCCCGCAGCGCATCCCCCCTGCACCACGGCCCCCGAGCCGCTTCCCCCTGCTCTGCATGCCCCACACCTCTTCCCCTGAACCGCAGGTTTCCCCTGCTAGGAAGGGGGAAAGGCTTTCCTCACGTTCTTCACAGAAGCACAGAATGGTTCTGGCTGGAAGGGACCACAGCGTGTCTCCTGGTCCCACCCCCATGCTGGAGTAGGGTTATCCTGGAATACGTAACACGGTATTGCAGCCAGATGGTTCTGGAATATCCCCAGTGTGGGAGACTCCACACCCTCTCTGGGCAATCTGTTCCTGTGGTCCGTCACTGCGCAGCAAAGTTCTTCCTTGTGTTCAGGTGGAACTTCCTGGGCATCACTTTGTGCCCATTGCCTCTTGTCCTTTGACTTGGCATCACCACCATCCTCTCAACACCTTCCTTCTGGTTACTTCTAGACACTGACATAAACCTCTTGAACTTTGTTTTTCCCTTTAAAGTGGACATTGGTGCTTCCACTTGGCTTTGGGGCTGAGTCTCCAGAAGTGACCCCATGGCTGTAGCAATGATCCCCCCCCACAGCACAAGGCAGAGTGTGGGGAGCCCCACACCCAAGGAGCAGTCACCCCACGGCTCCCAACCCAAATGCCAAGTTTGGTGCTACCAGACAGAAGCAGAACTGTATGGTCACAGCCCTGCCCTTGAGTGGAAATCAGCTATTTCCCTCAGGAAATTCTGTGGGAGAGGGTGATGAGCCCCAGTGCCATCACCAGAGCTCCCAAATGGATGAAGCCTTGGGTTCAAGGCCAGGTTGGATGGGGTTTTGAGAAACCTGGACTGGGGCAAAGTGTTCTTGTCTTCAAGGTCTTCTAGTTGGAACTAGAAGATGCTTAAGGTCCCTTCCAACCCAAACAATTTGATGACTCAACAGGCCTGTGGAGGAGAGAGATGAAAGTGTTTCCTTAGGAGGAGACAGGCCAGCTCATACATACAGGGAGAAAGACACTTCTCTTCTGACACATGGTCTCCTCCAGGATATTTCCTTGGCCAAAGTGAGGAGGCCATGAAAAACAAAAGTGCTGTGAGGGTATTTGCCAATTAGCTTGGGGACTGGGCACCAAGTGCTGTGTTCCCTTGGGCTGCTTAGTCCTGAGCCCCACCTGTGTGAGAGACAGCCCCTTCCATCAGCCTCACTGGGCCAAAATGGGGTAGGGCCAGGGTCCACGTGGGCACACAGCAATGTCCCCAAACAGGAGCCAAGCACCACATCAGCCTGTGCAGGTAAGCTCATTCCTCTGCTCTGCCCACTCAGCCCTTCAAAGGCAGAGCCTGGGGGCAAACAGAGCAAGCGAGACAAGCTCTAGTCCAAATACTGGAGGCTGCTTAGTTAAGAGATCATTTTTTTTTTTTTTTTTTAAGTCTAGGTGAGGTTTCTTTATGTCTGGGTTTTATTTTTGACTTGAAACTTGTGAAAATCACAGCATGACCTTTGCTGGCTGAAAGTCTTCCCAAAACCAGCCAACACCAGGGCAGTGAAATTCACCTTCCTGTAGTGCCCTGCCAGTGCCTTTTGGTGCTGAACTGCAACCATCTCCAGGCAAGGAACAGGAGTTCAGCCTCAGCAGTCCATTCAGTCTTTTGTCTTTCTGCTGAGAAAGTGAAAACACTGCTTGTAGTTCCAGTGCCAACTGCAGTTCGTGTTTCAAATTAACTAAAGTTCATTATTTTACACTTTAGGTAGAAGCTGCAGCAAACTGTTCACCAGCAGTCCAAGCGATAGTATACAAGCCCCTCTAGGATCCCTTGGAAGAGCTCCTGATGAGTTCACCGATGTTTGCACATTAACCTCTGGGTGAAAAGCCTGCCAGAGGGATGTGAGAACTCCACCGAGCCCTCCAGAGCATGACACAAAATGATGCAAGTGTGGGAGCTAGGAGAGAAAAGGTTTTGTGAGCCCAGAAAAATAATAAAACATTTAAATCCTTAATTGTTTTTCTTGAAGATTTATCCAAAATCAAGCTCTACTTAAGGCTGTGAGTTTGCAGAGCATTGTCAATAAATTAGATCATGCACACAAGGCAAGGATTTCAAGCCAAAAAGCTCTAGCCCTGAGTCGCTTAACAGCAACACTCCCCAGAAAAACGACTCAAGATGAAACATGAGATATGTATTAATTATCAATGGTCTAACAGAAAATTTAATGAAGACAAGTATCTTCTTGCACTTTATCCACGATAACGATGATAGTACGTCAGCGAGGCGCATACCTTACAACGTAGCAGTGAATGTCAAGTCTGAAGCCATTACAGCAATTCCCCACAATAATGGCCAGCCAATGCATGGGCTTGTAGCACTTAATCAAAGTAATGACATCCATCCACAATTATTTATGTTATGGTAACAAAGAGCTGCCAAATGCAAAACAAATGACATGAGGATTTGCAAGTGAATTTCTTCCCGTAAATTCTCCTTAGGTTATGCTTAAGGGCCCTCAGGATGGAAGTCTGTCTTTATCCAGAGCAATATCAGAACCGTGGGGTTATTGCGCCACGTTTTACTGCCTATAAGAAATGAACCTTGAATGCTATCACCAAAACGAGCTCTTCAGCCAACAGAACTGTATCAATATCACTTGAGCTGGCCTTGGTTTACACCCAAGAGTTGTCTTCAGAATTCTACAAGAGGAAAAAATATTGTTTGGAAGACGACATTTGCTTACTTCTGTCCATCATGGAAAACAAAGACCCAGCTGTATCAACACTTAAACACTCTTTTAACTTAAAGTATATGAGCAGTCCCTACTTACCTCAATGGGTTTGGATTAGAGCCATTATAATTACCAACCATGAATCTCTATTAAGTGCAGCACTGTTCTTTCAGGGGCATTTATGTGGGTGTTTGTATAAAAACACTGTCAAAAACTAACGAACACCAGTAAATATAAAATGGCAACATTCAGGTTCAAATGTAATGAACTAATTTATTTTTTTTAACACTACATCCAACTGTTTTTCACCACTCACAGATGTCACTGGAACAACTTGAATACAAAAAAATTGCCTAAGAACAATAAACTACACAGACCAGCTAATATTGATTGCTTTAAAAATGCCCCCTGTTAAACTTAAATAATAGCCAAATCTCACTGCAGTAAATGTCCTTTTATATCATTAAATACTAATTTAACAGAAATGTGACTGTGCAGCGAGAAACACAAACATGCTGGAAAACCAAAAGATTGCCCTCTTTTTTTTCCGTATTTTTCCCGTGCATTATCCAAGTCTCCAGGTTAACACCCGAAAGAAGAAAACAATAATTTCATATTAGCTGGCCCCGTAGTCACACAAACCAAAGCTTAACTCTAATATGCACTTTCCAAAGCCCATGAGAGGGGAGACTGCAGGATGCCTCTCACCACAGGCTCTGGCCACCCTCGATGACCAGGTTATGGCCTGTCACGTAGTCTGAGGCTTCAGAGGCCAGGTAGACCACGGCAGCCTGCAGGTCGGTGGGCTGGGCCAGCCTCCCAGCGGGAATGTCAGCCAGCCAGCGCCGCACCAGCGGCCGCAGCTCCCGCGAGCGGATCAGCGGCGTGTCAACGATGCCCCTGCAGCGAGCACATGGAGCAAAGGTTTAGCAAAGGGTCCTGCCCAGCACCAAGAGGTGTTTGAGATGTTAGTTCGGAAGGAAAGCAGTGTAGTAGAGCAAAGGAGATGAGCACAGCCTGCTCTGCCCTTGCTGAAGGTCATGGGGCAAACTTTCATAGCACTCCTTTCCTATCATAACCTTTAGCTGCTGATGGGCACCTCAGAGGCTTCCTTTCAAGTACAAATACACTCACACAATCTTCTTAGCTAACAGCACAAGCCCCTTAGTTTTAAGTTACCCATAATCACCAGATGATTTTTTTTTTTTTGCTAGAAAACAGGCACAGCATTGGAAGTGAAAGTGCCTTGAGCTGGGTCTGTCGTGGCTCTCGGGAACTGCTGTCCTTCCACCAATTCCTCATCACTCTACAGCTAATGTCACACAGCGTGCTTGTGTACAGCCCAGAAACTAAAAACAGAACAACTCCACATATGTCAAACAACGAGGGGAACAAAAGCCAGCACCCTTCTGAGCACCAGACCCTCTCCACACAAAAAAAAAAAGAGGGAGAGATAAGCACAACACAACCAGTGTGATCCCCCTTAAACCAACACCTGACAAATCACACTGATTTACCTGTCTTGCCTCTTTTGCATTAATGACTGACTCCACTATTTACTAAAACTCTGCTAAGTTTGTTCTTTTTCAGGTGCCCTAAAAATGATGCTGCAGGAAGCACAATGCAGGGTGAAGATTTGGCTGGCTTTTATGACTTTAACTGCAACTGATTTGTCATACTCCTCCTTAACAACATATTTGTATTTTGTGAAATGTATAATTTTTTCAGCCCCTGAACAAATATATTTACATAACTGTGTCTAACGAGAAATTACATTTAACTTCTCAGAAATGACAATAACTAAAACCTGAACTGCCAATTCCACTTCATTAGTGTGGTAGAAATGCATTCCAAATGTTAATAAAAATTCCAACATGCTGATAAATTAGCGCTTCTAAGGAGCATGTGACACCTTGGTTAACATATTCAACCTCAATTATATTTCTCTTCAGCACCCTGTTATCTGGAACCTTTGCTGGCAATCAGAGGTGCTGTTTTTCAGCAGCCAATTTTCTAGATAATGTAGCTTATCAACACTGTGGGTAAACTTGCCAATGAAATCAGGCTGCACTGAACCACACACACGCTAATTGCATCTCTTTTTTATGCATATTTACAGACTGTCACTTCAAAGAAATCAGTGGCCCATTGAGGCAGCCAGTTAGCTGGAAGAATTGCCTCTTGCAAATGAAAATTAGCAAACAAGCTAGTGATAAATATGAAATGAACAAAGTATAAAAATACCCGTTTTGTTCTGAAACTTCATCGGCATCCCAATTTAGACTTCCAAGGAAATAATTTTTTGAGACAGACTGGATTCTGGGTATGAGATTTACCTTTTGTTTTAAATGAAGGCTGAAATCCACTATTTACTCTGTTATGAAGTGGAACTAATTCAGATTTTCCCCCAAACATTTCTGTTCGCACTAATCAGGCAGGATTTAAATATCAGCTTTATATTTTACTGTAATTGTCAATAAAGAGCAGAGCAGTTCAGAAACACTGAGCAATGCAGCTCACTTAAGTTCTGGCAATGTAACAAAATCAAGCACATTCCAGTATAGGACTGCAAACGGTTTACTTATTTCCTTCAAGCACAGCCCCCTGGTCTCCCTCCTTGTTTTCCCAAACTCCTTGAGAACTGGTTTTCTTCAGAGAGAAACATGCTTTGAGCAGCAGACATGAAATATATTAAACTCCTCTCCCTTACGTGCCTCTCACTGTGGTTACAAAACCATCACCATCATCGTCATCATCATTCTGGCTTTACACTATCAGAGACCAGAATAAGATCCATATGATTTTCTTGGTTTTTTTTCATTTACAGATATACTTTAACCCCAAGGGAATGCAGATTAGGGAATAAAACACACACAGTCCTCCAGCACAACAGATTTTGCTAAAAAGAGGACGTTTTTCAATCTGTTCAGAAAAATGATCTTTGGTCTGATCACTGCAGTCTGGGAATCACCATGCTGTGCCTCTTGCTGGACCTTTCTTTAGGTTCACTCCACATAGCAAAAATTTAGATGTTTAACTAAACTTCACTACAAATTTTTGTTATAGAAATGAGAAAAAAATATAGCACAAAACTTAAAAGTTGCAAACACACATACTGATGGCACTATAAATATTAGGCATGTCATTGATACTACACATCTTCTGGGAAAGCTTTGGTGCCAAGTTGGGCAATTTAACGTTGTCGAACCCTTTTAGGCAGATTTTAGTTGGCTCCTAACCAGTTCCAGCAAAGACAACTGCCAATGCATTAATTCCCTACCTCATCTCGTATGCAGTGCTGAGCCTATCAGTACTTTCTGTTGCATGTCAATGTAATACCAAACTGCTGGTTCCTTAATGTTAGATATGAGCATCAATATTTCATTATTGATACACAGGACAATTTGAGACATGAGGGAAAAAAAAAGACTGAAAAAAAAAAAAGAGAAAAAAACAATTGCCTAAAACATTTCCACTTGGAGAGACACATTAGGAAAAATATCACTTACCAGATACTTAACTGGAATTGTTACGTGCACTCAATCCCCAAATGAGAGCAAAAAAAGATTCCATCTGTGTGTAACTTGATTTCTTTCAGATGAGTTATTAATTTGAATGAGTTAAGTACACTCCACTTAATCAGGAAGTGTTTAATCACAAGATCCACTTAATTGGGACATCTCCCAAGGAATTAAGATTTAAGTCCAAAGATACTCACCAGCAACGACTGCTGCTTAATGGGGATAGTAATGCTGCTTAATTGGGATGCCTTTAGGTGATGCTGGGGTGCTCCTTCTGCCAGCTCTGCCTCTCCTTCCCCCTGATGGGGTGTTCCCCAAACCTGCAGTGATCCTGCCCTGTCTGCTTTCTGGGGCTACAAGCCTGGTGCAGCACTGTGTGGCTGCCTTCAGAGGAGCAGGGCAGGATGCAGGACATGCAAAGGCTCTTTGCCCATCAGCCCAAACCCAAATTCCTCCAGCCTGTCAGTGGGGAACATGGTTCATCCCCCAGGGCTGCTGACCTGGCTGCCCTTAATATCAACTTCCAGCTGCCCATCCCAAAGGTCATCACATAATGGCATTTCATGTCTTGCTAATCAAGAAGAAGGCAGTAATTAGCCAAAAACACAGACATTGATTCAGTGAAATGGCTGCAAAGATGACGTGTTCTAACGCTGCACATGACAAAAGCCAGACACCTTCCAGAATTCCCTCTTCCATCACACCCAACACACTTCCACGTCCTGGGACCAACAAAGAGACTAAATCCTGTGGGCAGCTGGACATCAGCCACCGGTCAGTGCTCTGTAAAGGTCCCTGTTTACACCCAGGTACCCTCTGCGGTTCAACCCCCACATCCATTTCAGGAAGACTCCAGGACTTTCTTCATTGTTTTGGCATCAGCTGTGCAGCTGGCTATGAGGTGATGGCACTGGATGGTGGCACAGGGACTGAGCACAGGTTCCATGATGGCAACAGAATAAGTCAGCCAAAGCATCCAGGGAATCTCAGCCACCCTCTGTCCCTGGGCATCAGGTTTGCCTGGCCAGCAAGAGAAGCCTGCATGTTCAATTTTATAAATGCAATAAATCATCCTAAGGACTCTGTCATAACATTTTATGCATTGCTAACTTTTATGCATTGCTCTGCACAAGTTTTATGCACTCATTAAGAAATTAAGTTGATAAAAAGTGACCAGATAGGAAGAGGGGGAAAAGGCCAAAAGGTTTGCATGGTGAAATAATGTTTAAGGCCAGACTGGAGCATTTGGAGCTTCAGACAGAGGCACACTGAGAGTGCCTTAGAGCTTTAATGCAACCACGACTGGGAGGGGCAAAGTAGTTAAGAACACAGATATTTTACTTTTCCAGAGCTGAACTTGGGCACCATCATGCCCTATATCTACATCTGTTCTCTCAGACTCCTTAAAATCCCATCCTGTTATAAGATGATACTGAGGCTCCTCTGGTGCTGGGTGCTCAGGTCGAGTGGGTTGAAGACATCCCTCATCCTTGGTGAGTCACATCAGGAGACAGTGACACTAGTGGGGTCCACAGTTCTGGGGATGGGTCCAAATGTGCACAGAAATGCACACCTCACATAGACAGAAATACAAATGTGAAGTTATTCACTTGTGAGTTATTCACTCAGAAGCAGATGTGGCTTTTGCTTGTGTGATGAAGGATCTGAGCTCCATGAACTGCTGCAGGCTCCTTCCTCCTGCCCAGAGGTCCCTGGGCAATCCCATCATGATGGGCTCAGCCAGAGTTTGGGCTCTCTGTGAAGGAAGTTCTGCTGGTCTCCAGAGCAGCTCAGTCCAGGTTCTTACCTGCATTAGAGAAATCTGCTCTGGCCACAACTGGGGACCTCAAAGATAGCAAAATACTTGTTCTCCATGCATCCTTCCTGGCTATTCCTCCATAAAGGCAACACATCACCCCTTCCTGTTGTAGGATTTTGAGCTCAGAGATAGAGTTTAAGACAGGCAGAGATGATCGAAATGCAACCCCATGTTGCCTTGAAAAGTAGAAAGAGACACTGTCTATTTTTTCTCCATGCTCTGGCAACTGTCTCCAGAAACATAACTCCTCTAGAAGTGAGTGCTCACTTCCAAGTTGTACAAAACAGTGAGTTTTTATCATTTGGTGCCTATTTTTTAAATTTATGCAAGCCCCTAGGAAACAGGTAATTCCTCCTCTAAGAGCCTTCTCATCTGTAATTGCTGTGAATGTGGCACAACTATTCCACCTCTGTTGGTGCAGATTACCCGTATGTTTTCAGACACAATTCCTGCCAGGTCCTGCTGAGCTTCCCTAATTCCCTTCATCTCTCCAGCTCCCAAAAAACAGTGCAAACCCACTAGAGCTAGTTGTGGGAACACCATTACAGCGCTGTTAGCATGGGCATGGGGAAAATCCTATTAGGAAGTAATAGGGATGTTGAAAGAATCTTTGGATCACATAGAGTGATGGCTGGAATCACTGGTATAATTAGTAATAAATAATCATAAGGAAGACAGCTAGCACAAGCAAGGAGAGAGCAGACTGGCGGTAAAAACAGAGGCACTTGCCATTAAGCGCTGTGATTTTTTTTTTCCCCTCCACTTTGTGGATTAAAATATGTAATTTGTTTTCCCTAATTTGATCTACATTATTATCTTCATTATTACAATTTAACTCCTGGGTTAAAATCCTGCCCTTCTTAGTTACTCTGATTGACTTCAATGGTCTACAGAATTTGACCGCTTCCAATTAACGCTATCCACTTGGGTTTCTGCTCAGCACTATCATGCACTGCTAATTGTTTCATAAAATGACTGGTTGGGCATGTGTGTGAGGAACAGGGAGAGCAAAGTGGGTCTGCTAGGAAAACTTTTCTTTGTGAATAAATACCCTAAAACATAGAGCTTGAATTCTCCAAAAAGAAGGAAAATGTGATTTGTAATAAATATGTATATATATATATTTACAAAACTACATCTGGCCTCCTGTGACTGTCAGAGCTGAACAGTAGCTCAATAACAGCAATAAAATGTAGCTTTTAAAGTGCCTATATATTTGTCTCAAGTAAAAAGGGAAAAGAAGTATTGTCTGTTAAGTGTCAAAAACCCTTTCTTTAACCACAGAAGGCTTGGACAGACTAAGGAAATATTTCATCTGGAAGGGAAATGCTAAAAACTACCCTTCACATTATTGGAAAACCTATTATCAAATGCTAAAACCTCTCCTTAAATCCCTGAGTATACACAGCAACAGAGCAGGCTTGGTTCTAAGTATTTAAACCTTTGTTAAGGAAAAGACAACATAAAAAGGGATGCAATCCACCTGTTAATTAGAAACTTTATTTGCTGAGATAGTGTTCATTTGAGCTTTGTAGAACATTTCATTCCCTTTGTAGTTTCAAAATGAGACTACATTTTACTTACGGGGAAATGCAGTTGACTTTTACTCCTCTGTCAATCCACTCGGTTCCCAATGTCTGTGTTAATTTTACGACCCCGGCTTTGGAGGCGTTGTACGCCAACTGCTTCTGTGGGTGTGGGACTACAAGGGATTCAGAAGGAAAAAATTATTTATTCTTCCCAAATTAAAATAGCTTAGGCACTACACAGACAGCTCCCTGCATTGAGAAGAGCTATTTGCTCTTTTCCCAGGTACCAGGCAAGGGAGCAGCAAGAATTCAGCCACCTACAACACAAACCCCTAAATATGTGTTTTGCCATCTAACAGTTTTGCCTCAGCAGATGGGCTACTGGAAAACAATGGTGAAAATAAAAATAAAGACATTTAAGAGATCCCATATTTGGGCAAAGAAAAAAAACCAAGTATTAAACATATATATGCAATACTTAACTGCTTTGAAAAAAGATAAATAATCGTATAAACACATGAATATGCACATTCATATATTATACACATATGTATGTTTATATACTTGTACACTGTAATACAAATATATTATCATGTAATTATAAAATATTATACAATTAATAATATTACATCTAATATATTATCTATTCTGTGTTATGTAATATATTAATATTATTTATAATATTATATGTGGTAGATAATATGTGATAGCTGAATGTAAAAGTAAATTGTTTGATATGACATTATATGATAGAATATGATATAAGTGCATAACATATTTTATATAACATATATATATATATAGCTTCTTGGAACAAATTATTCTCCCTAATTTTTAAATTATCCACAGTCTGAGGCAAACACATCTTATTATCTAACTAATGTTTGTGTGGATGTGAACACAGGTGCATCCCAAAAATTCAGAACACCCACCACTTTCAAAATCTGAAGCTTTTGAAAATGTTTCAGAGATGTCACATGTCAGTCAGAGACAGAAAATGATCAGCTTGCTAATTACAATGTTCAAGCTTGTTAGTGCCGTGTGCTCGGGTGGCTCTGCCCCTCTCCAGCTCAGTGAAAGCTACTTAAGGACAAATCCCCAGTGGGTGTAAAGTGCTTTAAACCCACGGGAGTCAATCCAAGTCAGTCCAGGTGCTGAGATTTACACCCACAAAGTATCTCTCCTTGGACTTTTCTGGCTGCCATTAGGACTTCATTAAACAAATCCACTGCAAAGCACCCATAATTAGCTCTGTATCAGCACAGAGCTTCGCTGAGCTGCTGACTCTGATGGAGGGAGAGAGGGAAAAATCAGGGCAAATATCAGTAGGCACAAAGACAGGCAGTTGCAGCCTGTGGGGTTGGATGATGCTGAACCCTGGAAGAAAGGGAATCACTGGGTTTGCACAAGGTTCAGCAGGCAAACCCCAACTCCCAGCATTTTGATAAAAGCTCATAAGCAGCACTGGCAGCTGGCTTTAAACTGGTCTCAATAAATTAAGCTGATGCATCAATTCCACATCACTCCCACCCATAGCATCCCAACACACCCACTACTGATTTTATTGACTTAAACTCTTAGCTTGGAATATGTCAATGTAAAGGGTGGAAAGAAGGTGGTAACTGAGTTACTCAAACTGAAAAGGCCAAAAAGCCCTGCTGCAAATTGGTAAGCATGTGAACAAGGACCTTTGCCTTAAACAGAGATGTTTGTAAATAGATTTAAAGCACACACATGATGGGAGCAACAATTAGAGAGGGTTTTTTTCTGCATATGCTGCAGGTTTGCTCAGAATTTAGAGGCCTTTTCCTCGTTAAAAGGAGTGTTTCATACCATGGCCCTCTTCTGCCAGCATTTATTCTGTACTCTTTTTTGTTCAATATGAAATCATTTGCATTTTGACCAGCAGAACTGCTTTGCCCTCCGTGTGTGCCTGTTGCCCCCTGACGCAGCGTGCCATGGGGGCTCTCGAAAAGATGTGGAACGCGATTTCCTGATTAATGGCCATGCATCAGCTCCAAGTTACATACAACTTTGGTAGTTAACCTTGTAACCTCCCAAAAGCACTTCTTTGCTAAACTTTCCAAACATGTCTGTCTGTGATAAATCATTTTGGTGCTCACTTGCTAAGAGGAGAGGAGTTCTGGCACTGGCTCTGCACCTACAGTGCATGTGGGTGAGAACAAGTTGATGCAAGCCACGAGAATCAGCTTCTGACTTGGGGTGGGTGAAGAAACACAGTTATCAAAAGTCCATGGACTTTTGTCTTTATAAGAATATCTAAAAAAGGTAATTAGGAGCATGAAATTTTCCCCTGTTGAGGGACTCAGCCCCTCTCTACTGGAAGAACCCAAGGAGAAGCCAACAGGTGCTGTGAATCTCTTGCACTGCATGGGATTTCTGCACCTAAGCACCCCATGCCACCTCCTCTTCCCTTACCTAAGGTGGTCTCTTACAGACAGAAGAGAAAATCTGTAACCCTCCAAACTCATACAAAATGGGGTTTGTGAATAAAGCTCTGCCTCCAGCAGTGTCACCAAAAATCTGCATTGCTAAGGCTTCTGGGAAGCGACACTCACTCCTATTCAAGACAGATAATAGGAGAAAGCAGATAAAAAATTCTGCCAGCATTAGCTGCATTATGCTTTAAACACCTTTGTTCTGACTTTGGCTGGAATAGTTGGTTTGGGGTTTTTTTCCCAGCAACTGCTACAGTGCTGTGTTTTGGATTTAGGACAGGAATAATGTTAACACACTGATGGTTTAGTTGTTGCTGAGCGGGTCTTACTCTAAATCGAGGACTTTTCAGGGCCTCATTCTTCCCTGCTAGCAAGGAGGCTGGAGGCAGAAGAACCTGGGAAGGGACACAGCCAGTATAGCTGACTCTAACTGGCCAGAGGGATATTTCAAATCACACAGCATGGTGCTGAAAAACAAAGCTGGGGTGAGCTGGCTGGGAACACTGGGCATTGGTCAGTGGGTGGCGAGAAACTTCACTGTGCGCCATTTATTTGTTATGTTCTTTTTTCCATATTATTATTTTCCTCTCCTTTTCTGTCCTAATAAACTGTCTTTATCTCAACCCATAAGTTTTACCTTTTTTCCTTGATTCTCTCTCTTGTCCTTGGGGGCAAGGAGGGAAGGGCTGGGGGCTGTTTGGTGCTGCTGGGTTATACCACAACAACCCAACACTGCTGTTGCACCCTTGTTTGCTGCATCAGGCTCCCAGCCTGACCTTGAGCAGTCCCACAGTGTTAATGAGAGGTGCACCCAGACAGAGCAGAGCAAACCACTTCCCACTAAAGATACTCTGTAAAAATTACAGCTCTGAGTTACACCTGTGTGAACCGCCGAGCCGCCGCAGCCGAGCCGCCGCTGCCGGAGCGTACGCCTGGAATAATTCCATTGGAACACCAGAATCAAAATGCACATATGCAAAATGTATGCAGCTTATCTTCGATTAATTAAAGCTGATTCTGAGCAGTGTATCTGGAAAAATCACAAACAAAAACCTCCCTATCCTGCTAAGTGTCTCCTCATTTTCCTGTATCTCTGAGGAAGGACTCAACCTACAACAACAACAAAAAAATATCCCCCAACTATTTCTAGAAACATTTCATACTATGCCAGTTGGCCAACGTACTTAAATAACCAACCAACCAACATATTTATTTAACATTCAGCAGATGGACATGATATGAACATCGTGGTTTTCAGTCGTAGTTTCATAACTACTAGATTTTTTCAATGCCAAGATTCAAACAGGTTCAGAAGGTAAACACATCTCTCCATCTCTTAACTTCTGGCCTAGCGTGCATTAACTTTCACTGACATTTAAGTGCATCTTGGGATGACCCTTCCAGGCTGCTCTCAGGGCTGCTTTCCAACATTCCCTCCTGTTCCAGGACCGGTACTGCCCCCAAATGTGATCCCCAGGTGGAGCTCTGGACTTGGCTCACCAGCCAAGGAGGTGCAGCTCCAAGCTGGGGCTGGGGTGGATGCTGTGCTGGAATGGCCTCACCACCCAGCTCAGCAGAGCTGTGCCAAGCCCTGATGGAAAAGTTGGAAAATGCCTCTCCTTAAGCAGAGCAGACCACTGCTGGGCTGCAGCAAGGCTGGGAACTGTGTGCCAAACCAGCAAATCCCCAGTTTGTGTCAATTCCCAGAGCTTCCTAACTTTCTCCAGGATGGACTACATCCCAGGAAATTTTGCTTTGTGACAATGATGTGGATGGTGACAGCCCAAGCACAGACCAGAGCCCGACTGCTCAGAGCAGAGCAGGAAAGCCTGAAGTATTTGAAATTTAAAGCCTCACAATCTTTCCAGAACTACTTTTCTTGGGGAGATTTTGTAACTTTATAAAGCTAGGATGGAGGGATGGTGCCTGTGTTTAAGCACAAGTAAAACAGCTGGTAAAGACACTTTAAAAAAATATTAACAACAACATTATAAATGGATTTTTGAAGAACCATTTAAAGTTACTGTGCAATAAACTGAATAGAATGACATAGAATGTCAAACTGGGCACAGTAAAAATAAACGTTATTCCAAAGGAAAATAAAAAGACTGCATATTTATGTAACATTCAGCAGATGGACATGATATTAATACAGGGGTTTTCAGTTGTACTTTTATAGCTACTAGATTTTCTTGCCTAACTTGGCAACCCAAGGCACCATTTGATTTTTGGATTTGGACAATACTGCAACAGATGTCCAGACCAATAAAATAAATTCCTAAAGGGCTATGCTTAATTTGTGTAATTGATCAATTTTTGTTACATGGGCTTCAGCTCAGCAGCCTTCCAGATTAGCTCAGCAGTAGGGATTTCATTCCATATGTTACAATGGTTTATTGGTGCTTTTGATGACACTGCTGATTCAGCAGCATTGGTGCAGGCACCTGTTGGCAATGAGTATGTTACAAAACCCATGGGTACCAGGGCAAATATTGGCACAAAATCCTTTGGGTGGCCTGAAAGTATCTTGTGGGCTCAGCTTCCAACATGCCAAGGAGTTTGCCTGGAACAGCATGGAGGGAGCAGCACCTCTCCTGTGGTATCCGTGCACCAGAATCAGAGAAGGTGACTCCGCCTTTTCTATAAAAAGTAATAAGTGCTCTAAAACATTGAGGACAGATAAATGTTGAAAAATGATATCAATAAAAATTTTGTAGTACATTTCCTCTAATACAAAATGTCAGTGATTTACTCCTTCCCAATACAGGTTTAATTGATTCAAATAGCATCGGTAGTAATTAAAATATGGATTCTGAAGCACAACTGTTAGCTCTCATCACTCACCTATTAAACTTGCCATAGATGCTGTGTTAATTATCTTCCCATATCCTTGATTCAGCATAATGCGGCCTGCAGCCTGTGACAGAAATTAAAGGAAAGACCAGTGACCCTTTCTGTGATTGTGCTAATAATGACATGATAATAAATTAGTCTTTTCAGAAGAGTTGATGTGCTAACACATTTTTTTTTAAGCACCTGATATAAAAACTTGGTATAAAAATGGCTGATGCAGGAAAAAATCCCATTGCCATTTCACACCTCTCCACTGCTGGCAATATGTTTTTTTTTAAAAATCACTAATGTTGGGAATTCCCCCCTCGAGCCTTCTGGTTTTCAAATAACCACCCTTCCAAAAAATTTTGGCCCTTCTTTAATGCCTGGACTTGGGTAGCCAACAAGTACCAACTGCTTTTGAATATATTGACCAAACTCTGTAATTGATATAAAGCAAATCTCTCCTAAATTCCACCAAAACTAGGACCAATTTTATTGTGATAATTATTAATAAAGTCTTATTATATCTTGAGATAAACACTTAGATTTTAATACCCATTTGCAAAACTAACCGGCGCAGTATTTCACTTACTTGGCAGCACAAAAATAATCCTCGTAAATTAACATTAAAAGTTTTATCCCATTCCTCCAGGGAAGTCTCTTCACTTGCAGAGTTCAGATTAATTCCTGCATTGTTGCATGCAATGTGGACTGTGCCCCAGCGAGCCACTATTGCATCCACCATCCTTTGCACATCCTCAGGCTTGCTTACATCTGCTGCCAGGGCAAGGCTTTTAATGCCTGCATTGAAACAAGAGCGATGGAGTCAGCACAGGCATTCACAGGGGGAAAAAATATTCTATTTTATGATTATTTTTTAATTCATATATAGAGATATTTTATATATGGCTGTATTTTATACATATATCTATATTCCACCTTGGTTCATTGCTCCACAAACAGTAGCAAGTCGTGTGTTTGTTACTACAGTACCATTATAAAGTTGCTGGCTGGTGCAAGGTTTGCTTGCTGGAGAGCGACCTGGAGCCCAGGTGGGAGCCAAGGCTGCTGCTCGGGCAGGAGGAAGCTTGGAACACTGCACCATCTTCTGTCCAAACACTCAACTGCAGCTTCCCCGGCTCCATGCTGCTCTACACTTTTCTAGTTCTATGCTTTTCTTATGCCAGGCCCCTCCTCAAGGAGCTACAGAAATCAAATTCATCCATCCCGAACTGCTCTCTGGGTGAACTACAGCATTCAGAGAGCTGGGGGCATCAGACAAAACCAAAGCAGTTTTAGGTGGGAGCTAAGTGGGAGTACCTGCAGGAGCACAGGTATGGCAGTCATAGTGCCTTACTTATTGCAAATCACACTGCCAGAATAATGAAAACATTTGGAAATGAAGAGATTTACCAAACGTGAAACCTGCAGAAATTTTGCTTTTTTTTTCCTAAGATAATCCAGCCATTGACTTTTGCACCAGCGCTGATCCATAAATAACTTCATTTATTATAAAAATCAGCTATAAATGCCCTTATTGTTAAACAATGTAAGAAGTCTGGGGAGGCCCCTGATGCCACTGGGATTATACCCATCCTCAAAGCCAGACAAGGCCACACCAGTAAGGGATGTGGTGAAATGGGTCTTGTGTAAGGAAGGAGGGAGGCAGCCACTGGGGTTGGACCATGATCAGCAGCCTGGGTAGGAAGTTGCAGCTATTAAAGCAAGATATTTTTCCTCTATATAAATGTCAAATTTGTTCCACACTGGTCCCTATTTTAGATCATTCTGATGAAACATTTAAAAGAAGTGATAAGCCTAATCCAGGAGGATACTCTCCCAAAATGAAGCTGAGATGGAGGATTCCAGGAAAAGCAAGACAAAGCAGGAATTGCCCAGTGGTGTGTGTGAGTGACAAAAATGGCAGGAAAGAGGCTTTTGCATGGAAAAGCTTCTCCTCATCTCCAGTGCCTTCAGGAACCTGTCAGAGTGCACAGCCCGAGGTGATGCTGCTCTGGGGTTCCAGGGTGTGGGAGCTCCTGTCCCCTTCAGTGATGACAACATTCTCTTCATTTCCATGGTAGAGAAAAAAATCAGGTAACTAAAAAATGAATGCATGCTCTGCCACAAAACAGGACCTCTTATTTTATCACGGGTTTTATGTTAAATATGCTGAAAGAATAAGAATAGCCAGAGAGCCCCTGTTACTCCTCCTAATTGTTATCAAGAGTAACACACAGGGAGTTCTTGCAATCTTTCTTTTTCAATTTACAGACAAAACGGGTGCAAGTGTGTTACTAATGGTAACAGAAACACTCTTCACGTGCCCTCCAACTTTCACCCCATTTAGAGCTTCATCTTATGGGTCACTTTATAAAAATGAGACAAAAGGTGCCACGTGTGAGTGTCTAGCGAAGAAGCAGTGAAGCCACACTCACTTCAAACCAGAGTCCCACACTCACCCTTAATCAATTCAGCTGATTCCCTGCACTCTGAGAGAGGGCAGGAAACCACTTTCTGTCTCTCCACTCTCTCCCCCCACCCAAACCACCTGTTAAAAATAATAAATAAAACAAACTGTGGAAAAATAGCTTCAAATCTACAGACACAACCAGAGGCAAGACACCCAGCACAGACCAAGGCTGCTGGGTGCATGGTGGGGCCAGGGCATCTTCACAGCCCTCAATTCAGTTTTGTGGGGCTCGTGGAGGCAGGTTTGTGATGAGAGGGGCAGGAGAGGAGCCCAGGGGCTCTGTGCTGGAGACAATCACTGTGCTGGGTGTGCCTGAGGTGTCCTTCTGCAGGGACACACACACGTCCCCCTGCCACGCGCTTCATCTCCGGTCTCTCGGTATAAATGGAAGTAACATGTTGTATATAGACAAGAAGATCAGGAGTGACATTGCACAAGGCATTTGCATAGTTTACAGTGAAAATGCACATTTTAAAAATCCCATCAGACTAATTCTTCCCTTAGGGTACAGGCAGTGATTTCCCCCTGAAGACAGAGGTGTGTGTAGTGGAAGGTAACCCTTAGGATTTTTTGGTTATGTTTCATCATTTTTGGTTCTTCAGTCAGGATCCATTAGTAACTGTTGAAAAAGGTATTCACACAGGATATAAAAACAAAGAGCCCTGCAGCCAGGGGATGTACACCTGAGCTGTCTAACAAAGCTAAAACTGAGATCACAGGCATTCTGATGTTTAAAACTCATCATGAAATGATGGCACCATCCCAAAAGGCAGGAAAGGGCTCCTTGATATAAGAAGCAGAGCAGCTCTAAGCAAGCTAAGCAAAATGTTTTGAAAAAGTATCAGTATGGGAATGACTTGGGGCACTGGGCTTCCAACTTTGAGTTAGAGATCTACAGCCACAGAGACGAAAAAAAATCACAGCCCCTTTGTCCCTATTACAGCAGGAAAAATACGTATTAATGTTATGATTGCTTCAATTTACTCATGTGAATATTTTGAGAGTAAAGCTAGCTGAACCTTTTTGTCAAAATTTATTTCCAGCAGAGAATGATACTTCTTTGAAGCCGAAATGTTTCATGGAAACATTGATTTCAACAAAAAGTTTTCAAGGGAAAGCTTCTGAGGTCCAGGCTAGAATCTCTAGTTACCTCTGGAGAGAAAGAGATTGAAAACCTGACCTTTTCAGATCCTTTCCAAAAACGGGCATTTGGATATAATTCCCTTTCACAAAAGCTTTAGAAAGTTTGGGGGCTGTTCCAACAGGGAATGACAATAAATTCGAGACCTTAAAACCCATCATGAGATGGAAGAGATGTGCCCTGACCAGCTGCACTGGTCAAATTGATAGATAATATTTGACCTCAAAGGATAAAGATGTGTAAAGAGTGAGAAGTGAGATTTTCTTTACTTTAGACTGCAATAATATTTGCTATGCCTCACGACCTTTTTGACTGCATTTTGGAACAGCCCCCCACCTCCTCCAGGCTGGCAGCCCACTGCTGAAGGAGCAGAGATGTAGGGCAGCCATTGAAGGGTAGATGATCAAACTCCTACTGAAAATGCCCTGGAGATGAGTTAAGTTCATTTTCCAATAGGCTGTTGGCATCCAAAGTCTCATGGCTCTATCAAGTAGCCCATTTCTATCCGAATAGCTCTGCTTGATATGCAGGATCTCACAGGGAAAAAAATGTCCAAAAGGAGAGTTAAGGTGTAGGGCACAGCTACTTTGTGCCAAAACCATATGGCTCCAGTGCATAAGAGAGTGAAAAGCTTCAGGGAAGGAGGGACTGGATGACTCAAGAATTTGTAATAGGAACTGGACACTATTTTCTAGGTCATTATTTGGGATCAGAGCTTTAACCATTGCACTGACACTCCATGTGAAGTGTCTCCTGCTTAGCAGAGCTGGGATGTTTTGTTTTAAATGTTCTCTGGGGAGCCTCAGGATGGTATCCAGACCAGAATGACACCATTCCTTGTGTCATCCTGATTTTAGGTGATATAAATACATCTGTAGGGACTGGTTTTCCTGGAGAATATGGTTTCTAATGGCCTAATCCCTTGCAGAAGTCAGAGTGGAAACAAATACTGGTGACTTTATCCATGTGGGAATGTGAAATTTTCCTGTGTAACTGTCCATCTTTAGAGACAATGAAGTACTGAACTTTGAAGAAGGCTCAGGTGCAATCTCACAGAAGGAATTATAAAATGAGTAACACTTCCTTTCTTTTATCATTAAAAATTATATTTCCAGTTTTCTTTTTCCCCTTTACAATTGCAGTTTAGCACAGCTCTAGGGGGAAATTCAATTTTATGTTACATTCTCTGTTTTTACTGCTAAAACAGGAGTGGTTTGTAGAGGATTTTACCTCTTATTTGGGATTTTACTTATTATGCCTATCAGTATTTTGTTCCCATATCTGACTTTGCATACATGTTTGAAAGACATCTTGAAAAATTACTTGTCTTCAATTTAAAGGTCGCAATTAGAGATTCAGACTGACAATACAACTACCCCTGTTTTGGTGTTTTGGCTGATGGTACAGCCATAAGCTCTGGAAGAGGGGGTAGGCTGTATCTTTTATTCACCCCTAGTGAAGCCTGAGGTGCTGCATGATTTACTTTGAGGTGCTGCATGATTTACTCTGTTCAGTGCTATCTGGTTATACAGATCTCACTTGTATGAGGTGACCCTTCTCTGTTCCTGTCAGCCATGGCTCACCACTTTGGACACTTTTAGCAAGGAATTTTGTTTGGATCACTTTGCCCCTCTAGCAGAGTTTATATTGATAAATAACTCTCGCAGATGGTGTGGTATCAGTGGCTGCTGGGACAGCACTGACAGGGCAGGAGAAGCTTTGTGGCCATGGCATGAAAATCCTCTACTCCCACCAATTCCCCACCAGGGCTGGATGGGAGGGGATTGCACTACAGAGTAGTGTCAGGTTTGAAGAAGGAAATCCACCCATTACAGTGCCCACCGTGTCTCAGTGCTTACCTTTGAGGCTGAGCTCACACGCCACCGCTTCTGCCCTGGCAAGGACCAGATCCACCACAGCCACTTTAGCCCCAGCTTCCCCCAGGGCATGGGCAAAGGCCCTGCCAATTCCCTGCCCTCCTCCTGTGACATAGGCCACCCTGCCATCCAAACGCAGCCGCTCCAGGATGCGGCGCTGCTGGCAGCCCCAGAAGACATCATCCTTCACCACTCCTGCCTGAAACAAGAACACAAACACCTTGCACAGTAAGGGGCAGAGCTCACCGACAGCTGTGAAGGACTCTGCTGGTGACAACGAGGTGCGAGCATGAGCAGGGATACATCTCTTCTTGGCCCATTAATTAATACAAAAAGTATCGCTAATTCAAGACAAAAAGCCCCCTTATCCATACAGATATTAAACTCAAAAAGAGCACTAAGGTGCCAGACAATGGAGCAGAAGGGCTTTGCTTTGGGGAGATGCTACAACCATTCCACTTTCAGGAGAGCAGGGTATGGCTTTCCCTAGCCTGGCTTGGGTACAAAGTCTTAGAAGCTGACTGATTAATTCTTCCACTTATTTCATCCCCAGGGCCCAATCGTGCCCTCAGGCTCAGCTAAGAGGCTAAGAACAAGGTTCCAAAGGCAGGATTTGGGTCAAGTAGAGTGCAATCAAAATATCTTCACAAGGCTGGTGTGCAAATAAAGATATCAGCCAATAACTTAAACCAAGCTGTCATCTGATCAGCTGTCATACATCATTTCCCCCTGACTGGAATCAAAATGCAAAATACAAGATGTTTAGAATATTGAGTCTGAAATGCCAGTGGGTGTAGCTTTGGGAGTGCTCAGAAACTGCAAAACAACCAGCATGTTTGGGTCTGGGTTTACTGAGGTAGGCTATTATGATTCCAGATGGGAATTTCATTACAGCTGGATGATGCCCACTACATAAAACAGAGAAAGATAAAAGCACCATTTCTTTTTCCCTAGGACGAGCAAAATGTAAGGCCATGAAAATATCCAGTTCAGAGAGCACAGGAGGGCATCCTATGCAGCCTTTGAGAAAAAAAATTAACTATTTCAGAAATTTTATATTGGTTCATTACAGCTGGTCCTCAGCTCCATCTTCCCACACTCCTCTGCATGGATAGGATGGGAGAGCTCCAGACACTGATACCTGGTGAGCAGCACACCAGTCACTCCAGAGATTCATCACAGGACCAGCTGATTTGAAAGATTTTGCAAGGAATCAGCATTTATCAGCTTTTGTGCAACCCTAGACTAGTGCGGCTAAAAGTGCCGTTTAAAAGTTTTAAGTTGCCAAGTCCATGATCACAGAATGTTTGGGGTTTTGTCACCAAACCCCTGAAAATTATTTTGCCCTTGTCCTTGGCAGAGTCAAAATTTTCCCAAAATGCTCACAGAGAGGAAATACCCACCTTGGATTCAATCACTGAATCTGGAGGCACAGGGCTCCTTCGAATGAGGCTCAGTCCACTCTGCACAGGCAAAATCACCTGCAAATACAACACAGTTCCCATCTGCTTTGTACCTGACTTTCTGTTGCCCAAATTCCACTCATATGAAGGATAATCCTCAGGCCACGGTAGTTTTTCCCCTACTCCTGTTCTTCAGCTGAAGCTCCCTCTAACACAAACATGTCAGGCATTTCTATTTGCTCACATTCTTCTTCCAAACTCATTGCTTACACAAATGCCAGGGGTTAAAAAATGCAATTTTGTCTCTCTGGTTTCTAAAATCACAACATACTGTTTGTGCATCCTATAACTTCATCTTTTTATTCTCTTTGCTGACTCTTGTGCTGATGATGCCCTACAGCCCCCAGAGCCTTTAAAGCAGAGTGGTGATTCTTTAGTTGTGCTGTAGAGCTGATTATTCACTCTTAAGTGCTCTCCTTTTATCTTGCCTTTAACACTCTGTAAGATGTAGACAGAGTAGGGACCACTCCTGAACACAGAAACTCATACCTAGAGCTCAAGTGAGGTGAATTATAATAAAATCTGAGTTCATTTTAGGTCCTTTGGATAATGGCACCAACAAAAGAAGCATTTTAAAGAGTACTTTGCAAAATCCATAGATACAGCACTGCGGGCACCTTAACCAATGGCGTTGCACTAACCTGCTCAACACGAGGATCTGAATTAATCACTGAATTTAATTTTCTGACAGCTAGTACATTTTCATCTGATACATTCTCCAGGTAGACTTGTCCTTTCATGAGTGTATTCTCTACACAGATCACTGCATCCATGCTCAGCAAGTGGTTATCCATGACAAAGCTGTAGTACTGAACAGCATTCCTTTGATCAGCATCAATAAAGACTATATCAAAGTGCTCGTCCTCAGCATGTAATGCCTGGGGAAAAAAATTACATTGGAGAAAACACTAATTATTTACCTGAAAGTTTAACATGTTGCCATTAATTTTTCCTTTATATAAACCCCAAACCAGATGGAAACTTGTTCTTTTAAGGTCACACTTTTAAGCTAGAACTGCTTCTGGAGATCTTGGGAGTTTTCCATGCTTTGCAAACAATTCTTCAGCAATGAATCTCTGAACTTCTCAAGGAAAATCAGGATATAAAAGAGAATGGCTCATCCCAGCTTATGGTGTTGAGAGGCAGAAACACCTGCATACCTTGAGTCAAAGTAAATTGATCCATCAGGGTAAGACTGGCATCAAACCCTGACACTAAGGTGCTGCAGTAAGTTCTCTCTTCTCAAAAGAGCAACTATCAACAAATTGAAGAGTGGCAATTATATCAGTCTGGGATAAAAAAAGAGGAATAAGGCAGATCTGGGAATTGCAAACTAGTGTGTCCCACTTCAGTAGCAGGAAAAGGGTTGAAATCCCAATTAATAATAGAATTATAAAGCACATGAAAGAACAGGTCATGATAGAGATAAAGCAGCACAGCCCCTGTGAAGGAAAATTATGTTTCTTTAATCTAAAAAAATGCTTTGGATGGCTCAGCAACAGAGAGGATAAAAGAGAACTGGCTGCTATCATCTAATTGGATTTTCAGAAATGTGGCACACCTTCCCTCCAAGCAGGCTGCTGATGATAATGTATAAAAGTGTTGATGGATGACCAGATGGGAGCCTTTACAGCCTTCTCCTGTGGCAGTTAATGCACTTGCTGCCCAAGAGGCTGCTATGGAATATTTCAGATTCCATCTGGGACTATTTAACTGCATCTGTGTGCGTTGCAATGAAACAACAACTCATCCACCTATCTCGGTGAGCAGAAATGCTTTCAAGTCTTTGCATTTCAAGGGAAAAGAGAAACAGTTCTGTTTCCCAGAACTCACTGTCTCTACCACGACTTTTAATGGTACTTCTTGCGTCCAGATTTCCCTTTTGTGTTTAGAGACACCATGCACAATGAGCGATGAGCCGTCCCTTGGGATGTACCAGCAAAAGCATCAACAACAGAATGTGAAAAACTGGTTTGGTTTTGGGAGTGAGGTTAATGGCTCCCAAAGAGAGATTTCAGCAGCCTTTCTGAGGCAGGGAGTGTGTGGTGCAGGCAAGGAAACAGAGGAAAGCAGATCATTGGAGCTCTGAGCTCCTCTGTTGTGCAAACTGGTGTCATTGTGGGCTTGTTAGTGGAATTAAGCTTGGATAGTCACATTTAACTGTGGATGCTTGATAGCACAGAAACTCTGCTGAAAGCATTCATGAGTCCACATTTAGGACACATTACACTATAATGAAAGAAGACCTTAAGGCCAAATATATGCTGGTTTATTATAAATGTAGCAGAAACTGGGACATCTGGATTCCTGGGATTCATCTTTTCATTTCATGACCAGCAAGAAAATCTTGCCCTGGTTCCCTCCTCAGCCACATTGGTGGAAAGCAGTGGAACATTTTTGCTACTGTGGACAAGTATCTCATGTCAGGTTGCACCTCAGTCAGTCTGTCCAATATAGATACTTCAGGAAGGGTCAGAAGATCAAAGCTGGGCAGAGGAGCCCATCACAAAGAGAGATTAGAGGTCTCATTCCTCAAGGAGAAGAGCCAAAGCCAAATTCAAGTAATTATCATGACTTATCACTACTTTCTGACTTGTAACCTTCCTGGGTGGAGGAGGTGGGGGGCAGACATTCAGAAACAGATGTGGCCATCGCTGAACATATGTTACTCCTGCTCCGTGGAACGGCTCCCTAATGAAAAAGAATCTCACTTTAATGTATTGACTTCATTAGGTCCATATGGAGTTGTGCAGCTCTCTGGATGTTAGCTGGACTTCTCGTTTCAGCCCTCTTTCTGTACTGCCTACCTGCTGACAGCTTATCTTTTTCTTATCTATCTTCTGATACAGATAAACCACCTTTTAACATCACAGCATCCATCCAGGAGGGTGCCTGGGTTGGATGTGTAATCAGGGCACCCCGGGCTTGTTCTTGCACTGCCTGGGTGTGCCAGGCCATGGTTTCTAAGGCATTTCTCTTCTGCCACTTCACTGAGTCCTGAATGGCCAGCCAGCAAGGACACTGGGGCATCCAAATACCCAATGGAAGGAATAGCCTGAGCTTGTCCTAGGACCTGCCTTCGTTTGACCTTGTTTCCACAGCTTTGTAATTCTTGCTGGGTTTTCCATATTAGGCTAGGAACATCTCCAGGGCTATAAGAGGAATCCACAAAATTCCTTGAACCAGCCTTACCTCTAGGGCAGCCTCTACACTGGAGGATAACAGCCATAGGGATAGGAAAGTTCCCTGTTTCCTGGAATCCCTTGGCTAGCAAAACTCAGGTCACACCAGGCAGGTGGTCACTCTGGCCAGGGCACCACACTGGAGAGGATTTCCTCACTGCCAGCACCCACTGATGAACAAAAACAGACAGAAAGAAAAAAATCTGCTCTAGCTGCAGAATCAAGCACTAGAAAGATGGGTACAGTGGTGGAGGGGACACCTCCACGCTGTCCAGTATGGACAGGAAAATGAAGGAAATGAGGAAATGACCACCCTGGCTCTCCCAGCACAAACTGGGACCTCACAGCACTCTGGAGATGCCACTGTCCTTTGCTTGGAGAAGCAGAGCCCAAATGCCTCCAACTGTGAGGAAAGCTGAGATCCAGAAGGAAATAATCTGCCTGCAAAATATCCTGCTGAAACTAATTTCCTGAGTGTTTACAGTGCAATCCCTGCTCCTTGCTACAGAGTCATCATAGATGGTAACAGATGGCACTAAGAGTTTTAATTCAGAGCAAACTTGGCTAAAATTAATGCTTTTGATTACAGTGAGTCATTAACTTCCTCTTGGATTAAAAAAAAAAAAAAAAAAAGAAGTGCAGCACTGCATTCCATTGAGGAGATGAACCAAAAGTGACCATGAGAAAGGGCACAGCAGCCCTGCTGATGGATACAGCAAAAGATCAGGGAGAGGATATCCTGAATAAAAACATGAATGAAACTTCTGCCAAAGCTCAGGGAAAACCTGATTGGAGCCCTGATCAGAGACAACACTCTCATAAGGCAAATACAAACTCAATCAGAAAAAAAAGAAATTACTGCCCAGTTCCTTTGATATGGATCATACAGTCAGCATATTTGTAATAAAGATGTACTCAAAACTTATTACCTATCTTGTGCCTTGTTCTTGACCTAAATGTAATAGCAATCCATCCTTGGGGTGCACAGAATACATGAAAAAGTACAGTTTCCTTTTAAAACACCATTAGAATATTTTACTGTGTGTGGACATACACTCTTGTTACTCCTAAATGCTATTCTATTGAGTACAGTTTATATTCACCGGCAAAGAGAAATCTCTAGGGAAGCCAGAGAGGGAATGCAATTTCTAGTAATAACAGCTCACAACAGTGAATACTATCCACTTATCCCCACAATTTCCAGCTATTTTGGACTCCTTTCTGAATTAACCTTTCATATCAAAAGGAGCAATTCTAGAGCACACTAGAGACTCCGACACAATTTCATGCATAATTTATTCACTCAGTTCAACATTAAACGCAGAGTCCTTGACTTTGTCAAGGTGGATTCTGTTGGCAGACTTCACAAGCAGCAAAACAGGAGAAATGAGATCTGCAGCTCAACCTCTTCACCTATTCTGTCTGCTAACAGGAGGGAAAAAAGAAGAAAGCAAACCCCGGACATGCTTCCACAATGCCCTGCAATCAGTAGAATCAGCTGCAAACACTGCGTTGTTTTTGTGTTGCATTTTCAATTTTTAAAATGGATGGATCAAAATAATGGATGGGAATAATTTTGTCATAGTTTGCATTCCTTCCAGTCTCAATCCTGCATCCATTGTTCATCAAAAGTCCACTGGGAATTGAAGGAAGCTCTTTGTGCAGGATGAGGCTGTTGCTGGCAGCAAATCCATGGCAAGGCACATTATCCAGGCATGGCTCAACAGAGTTCAGACTTAAGGGAAGATTTGTTGGGAAATGTTTGTAAACACTGGCCCAGAACATGTTGAATAGGTAGCTAATTCCCACTGAAGACACCTGTACCTGAGACTCAGCCTGAAGAAAGGCTTCCCCTCGGTCCACATTTCAAAACAATGTGCAAAATTCTGAGGCCCTCGGGCACAGAGGGCAGGCCAACCCCTCCAGTGCTGTGTGATAACACAAGGGACCATCAAGAGGCTTCAGAGAGCCTGGTCAGGGTGCTGCCAGGAACTGGTGTGCTGCCTTTGCACTGCTCTCCCAGCCCTGATGAGCCACAGGTTGAGGTGAAAGAGCCAAATCCACAGGGGTGACATAATGGCCCCACTGTCTGAGGTGCACTGGCACAGATGTGCTGCATCCTCATGGCAACAGCTGCAAGATCTGGCAGCTTCCTTGTCTGGCACAAGCAGTTGTGCCATCCTGCAGCACATGGATGATACCTGAGGCTGGGATGCTGCTCCTAGGTACTCTAGTTTTATATCAGAAGGGAGAGATCATACTCCTGATAGTTTGGACATGCTGAATCATAGCTTCATGCAGCAGGGAAGGATTTCCCTGACAGGTAGTTAATCTACAGATCATATGACATTTTCTTGCTTTGAAAGGGCCAGGGCAGCGAGGCAAATCCTGCTCCCAGGAGTTGCATTACAGCAAAAATTTGAGGAGCAGCAGATAAGAAGAAATACTGCCCTGCTGCTCTCAGCTCAGAAGTGAGATTCAGCCATCATCACCAAGCAAGAAAGCTGCATCACCCATCTCCAAAGAGCAATTGGTGGATGTCCATCTCTGCCTTCTGGTTTTTCCAAAGGGACAAGAATGACACCTAGGTGTGCAGACTCTGTAGGCAACAAGGACAATCATTGCCAGAGCTTGTTCCAGCTCTTCTAAACCTCACAGTGCTCATCAGTAAATGTTAGCCAGCTCTGCTCTAGGCCAGCCTCCCCACAGACCATGAGGGACAGAAATGTTCTCCACTTCCTCTGTGAAGCTGAGTTGTGAGAGCCCTGCAGTGCCATCCCTCACCCATCTCCTGCCTGTCACTGCCTTGTCCTCCTGCCTTTCAGCTGCAAAGGAAGCCTCAGTCCCCTTCCTACACTGGTCATCTGGGACGGAAAAGGCAGCCTGCTGTCCACAGAGCCTCTTCCACACACCCAGGAATCCCATGCAGCTGCCACACTCCAGCTGGGCAAACCTCCAGAAGCCCAAAATGCAAATGCACCAGAGAGGCCACCAAATCCATTGCTTCAGCATTTACAGCCATTGTGGATCAAACCTGTGGGACAATCCTGACTGTCCTGATACTGATGACAAAATGCCTGCCACACTGAATAGCAAAAGTTCAGAGCCCAGTGCAGAAATCCTGCACAGAAAGGTGTCCCCATGCTGGGATCTCTCCTGCCAAATTTGAGCATCTCTGTTCCCAACAGCTCCAAGAGGTATTTGAAGTTCTGAGCACCTGCAGAACTGGGGTCACGATGTGCCTTCATGTTGCAATTGGAGGATATAAAATCAATTGCAACATTCTGTTTTAAGGATTTAATTTTCATGTCTTTGCTCCCTTCTTTAATCTCTACACAGCATGTACTCTGCCTGCCTCTAGATATTTTAATTCAGTCACAGTAAGTCAGTTGCACAGAATGGGCACTAGAGAGCAACAGCAATTCAATTAATTTCACACTCACTGCGGGGAGCTGGGATTTTAAATGCTGCACATTGCAGGTGATCTGTAACATTTCATTTTTTTGTACACTTGCAAAGCTCTTTGTTTCTTTCTTATCAAACTTGGAGGTCAGGAAAACCAGAGGTCAGAAAGCTCCTGGCCATTTCATTTTAGAAATAAATATGGTACCTGCTAATGCAAATAAAGTTACAATCAGGCTCACACTGACACATCGTGATTGAAAATTAAATCAGATCAAATTGATTTGTATTAATAATAGAAAGGGTTTTTAATGAACCTGGTATGGGCACCATCTGTCTCATGCTGGACCTGCAGCAACATCCTGGAGATCCATAAACTGGAATTAAATGTGAGCTGCCAGCAATCATAAGATTTCTCTTTCTTGGGACAAAGTCACCAGTCAGAATGAAACAAGTACAGCTAAGGCATTATTTTTATGAAGCTTTTCACATTGCTCTGGAAGTGAGAAAGTGGGGTCTAATTCATCTGGGAATTTGCTGTGGGGAAAAATAGTGAGAGGTTTTGGCAGAATTATAAACTTCTCCAGGAGTTTCCCAACTCGTGTGAACATTGGGAGCAAGCTGTCCTTCTCAAAAGCAGGGTCAGCAGGGTACAGATACACTCTTCCTGTTTGTTATATTTGGAATTAGGGATCTAAACAAAGCCAGCCCATGTTGAGTTAAACTGCCATTGAAGCCCATCGACCTACATTGGGAGCCTGTGATTCCTCTGATCAAGAAGCTGCAGGATTTTAATTAAAAGAGAGAAAAACTGTCTTGTGTGACAGAGCTGCCCCATCATGTACTGGAAATAGGAAATAACCTCAGTTCACACATTTGCAAGCAAACCAGAGCCACCATCCAGCATCGTGTGGGCAGGAAAGAGAACCTGCCTGAAATTCTTTAATGTGCTCTTCACAAGAACTCCCAAACCCCCCTTTCCAGCTGACTTTACCTCCAAGGTGTCTGCCACTGGTCCCACTCGCATGCTTATCTTTTTGCCATCTGAGGAATAATCAAATGCTTCCTGGCTGTTCACTCCGAGATACGGCGCTTCTGCACAGGCAAAGATTTTGCCATCATCTGGCAATTCCTCTGCAATAGCAAGGATACTGTAACCTTTAAGCTTGCCAATTAATAAAATCTTCCTGGCTCTCATCATATGGACAAACATCCTAAAAATTTGGCCTGTGGAAAGACAAGGATGAAAATGTGAAAATAAAACCGTGAGAAAGACTATACTTTGTTCACAATGAAAATTAGATGTGCCTTTTAAGTGATCATTAAAAAAAACCCTAATCTTAAAACACTCTCAAATAAGGGTTTAACAACAGAATCTGACAAAATTTCATCTAAAATGCAGCTAAAAGACAACAGAATAAAAGGACTGATTTTAAATGTAGAACCTTTATCATCAATGCTGCTATTGTTCAAGTGCTTGTTAAATAGTGCTTGAAATATTGCATATTTTAACATTCCCCCATATGAAAATGGCTTTGAGATGGCTCCATATTCTTTCTGGAATCCAGCATTAAAAAAAAAAAAAAAAATCACTACATTACCTTGCATTTGCTCTTAGAGTCATTATCCCTAGACAGCACCATCATTTAAGAAATTTATCATCAGTGGTGTCCTTCGAACAATGTATTAGTGTAATAGATTATAAGAGTACTTCACTGGGATGATATATTACTCCAAAGATGAGAACATCTGGGAAGAATGAATCTGGGAATAGATTAAGTGTAATAGGCTTTATAAGAGGATACAAGCCTGGGTATTGCTACTTGTAAAGGTGCAGTGCTTGGCCACAGCCACCTCCACCACAAAAAGCACAAAAAACCCCTATCAGATAGCCCAAACCCAAAACAGAAACAATTTCAATCCATTTCCCTTCCTGGAAGGGGGATGATCTCTTTGCTGTTCACTGAGGGATGGGGCTGGCACTGTGAATTAAAGCACTTCTGTGTGGGCACATGTGGGTGAACACAAGGGCACGGGTGTCATGGTACAGGAAAACTTGTGCCAGAGGAAAATCAAAGCCCACAGAAAGCTCATATCTTTCTTTATAAGTGATTTCCCACATTTTCTGAGCATTTCCATGGCATTCATCCTCCCCTTGCTCAAGACAAAGTAGAGGATGATAGCTTCAACTTCAGTGACAACCTTTACACCAATCTGGTGCAATTTTACCCTCTTGGTTGACCAACTTGCCATTCAGAGAGTCAGAGGCACATGTTTCCTGCGGCCTGACTCTGCTTTCAACTCCTTCAGCATCCCCTGGGATGTGCTCAGGGGAAGTTTTTCTAGAAAAAAAAAAAAAAAAAAAGACATTTCAATATAATGATAACAACCAAAATCTGAGCATCCAGCACAAAAAGCAGCAACCAAGAGGGAACTCCTGGAAAAGCTCCATCCATGCATGACCATGAAAAATTAGCCCAGAAGCATTGCAAGAATCCTAAATTCGAATCCTAAGAGAATCTAGTTTGGCAATAAGCACATCTCAGTGCAGGCAGCCACCCCAGCCATAGGGGCTTGGGAAGGAGGGGCCATGTGAAAGAATTCCCCACTGTTCAACCCCAAACCTTTCCCATTTTCAGCTGGTCCCAGACAGGTCTCTAACTATCTGCTGGTTTGAGTGAATTACTCCAGTTACCCTGGCCAGGTTTTGTTCAGTTCTACAATTATTATTTTTGTTTCAGCCAAAAATAAGGTTTCTTCGCAGAATAGGGGAAAAGACATAAAATCTAATTTTTTTACAAGACAGGGGAAAAAAATGTTTCTCCTCACAAAGTGCTCAGAAAAGCAGGGTGCCTCCAGATGCTATTTCACAGAACTCAGGCCTGTGACAATGTCTCTGGATGAAGTGAGATGTTACCTATTACATAGGGAAGGCAATAGAGGACTGGAAGAAGTCCATAGCCTCCAGACAGGTTAGATTACCCTATCTGAAGAAAGTAACCACCAGAAATGGATGGTGATCATTCTTTGGGCCAGAATTTAGAGCCATTTCAGTGGTTTTTTTCCCCTCCAGCTCCCCCCTCCTCCACTCAGTAAAATGAGAAAGAATTCATAACCCGTGTCAGCCACAGTCAGATAATCCAAGACTTAAAGAGTAGAACATTTCATATAACCTCTTTTCTGCCCCTCACAAATGCTTTAACAACTTTAATAAGATAATGTATAGCTATTATCCTACAGCAAGTGTAACTCAAACAACTATCAGCTATTATTTCAGCAACAGAGCGAACACTCAGCGTTCCCATAATCCACAGCCTGGAACAGTTTACACATTGTCAATTTTAGACAGAACTGGCTTTTTCCACATATCAAAATGTACACTGATAAATGGGAATTGTTTAGCAGACCCCACATGGCTGGGTAATATAATGTAGCTCAAAAAAGAATAATGAGGGTATCAGTTGGACTTCTGAATTAATGATACCTTAAATTAGTTTAATTAATTAGTTTAGTTACCAGAGTAATTTAGTTAGCAGATTAATTAATGTTTGTTGAGTGCTTGGAGATAAAAGCCACATATAAAGGCTGTTATTAGAGGGTGGATCCAGAGGTGCAGGTTTTCCTCACTCTTTATTTTTCCCAGCACCAGCTGGATCCAGAGGCTCACTCTGCGAGCCTTCCAGCGAGCTCTGTGTGGAGGCTGGTGTTCCCCAGGATATGCTCCAACTCAGACACTGCCACAGTCAACAACCAGTTGGGAGAATATCTTCAAAAATTTAGAGTTAAAGCTTTTTATTCTCACCTCCCCTTTTAGTCTCACCTCCCCTTTTTTCCTCACCTCCTTTCCTCCGGGCTGTGGGCTCACACACACATATCCATGCACACTTCGCTACGTGTTTGGGTGCACTTAAGTCTCATTCCACTTCTTGGCACTGTCCCCCATGTTTCTGGCATGTTCTAGACAGAAAATCTAACAACACATTCACCCAAACCCAGACAAAAGGTTACAAAGGGGAATCTGCACCTCTTGGAAGCTGCCATTGCATCCAGGTAAGGGTCTAGTCCAAGAGCAACATCAAGAGCTTTTTGTAAGTAATTCCTGAGCTGTTCAGGTACACGAGAGTCATTGAGGGCCATTTCTTTGGCTTTGAGAAGGTTCTCAGCAATGTGCCCAGCCAGAGTTTCTGAAATGGAAATTAAAAGGAAGAATAACAATTTTGTAACTGCTCAATCAGTGGAAGTGGAGTTTAAAGTACATAAACACAGGTGTGCTTTTTTTTAATACAAAATACAGGGTTTTGAAGGGCTATGAAAACAACCATGAAAACCTTTTCAAACTGAAAAAATCTTTTATTTCTAACAGATTTTTGCTGCATGCATTCTCCCTTTTCCTCCTCAGAGCTGATCAAGAATAAGAATGCCTTGAACACATGAATTTTGCCTTTAAATCTCCAAGACAAACATCAAACACCAAACAACTGCACACAAACCCCACTCCTCCAGGTACCATTTTTCTTGGAGGAAACAGAATGCTTCCAAAGCTGCTCTTGCCAAACCAGGCAGGAGATGCAGACAGGGGTGAAGCTTTGTAAAAAGGAGGATCTGTGTGTCAATGGGATGCACAAGTGTCCCCAAGCTGTGTCTGTGCCAGGAAAGCTGCTGTGCACACAGCACACAGCGTTCCAAAGGCTGTGGAGACATCTCCAGGATCCAGATCACCTGGCCCTAGGGGCCCAAGCAATGCTGCCCATGGTACTAAACCTGCCCTGAGATCCCAGAAAACCCTCAAGGCAGCAATCCACCGTGGATCACAGCAAGCCACGGCCCCAGAGGGTGAGGCATGGTTCAGAGAAACTCCCCCACTCCTCAAGTGTAAGAGCACGTGCTGGGTTATGAAAGCACCGAGAGGCCGTAACTGGGGTGGAGCAGATTGCCCCTGGCAGGGATTTATTGCTTGTGATAGAAAAGCTGCAGAGAACTATGTGGAATGAGTGAAAAAAGGACAGCTTTTTCACTTCTGTGGCTTCCCAGTACCTGCAGGGAGCCTACAAGAAGGTTGAAGAGAAACCATTTCTAAGGCAAGTAGTGACAGGAAAAGGGAGAATGGTAACAGATGGAAAGAGTGTAGGTTAAGATTAGCAATTAGGAAGAAATTCTACTCTGAGAGGGTGGGGAGGCCCTGGCACAGGCTGCCCAGAGAAGCTGTGGCTGTCCCATCCCTGGCAGTGTCCAGGTTGGAAGGGACTTGGAGCAGCCCAAGATAGTGGAAGGTGTCCCTGCCATGGGATGAGATGGGCTTCAAGATCTTGTCAAACCAACCCATTCAGGGATTCTGTGATATGATACTATGACTTACATCTCATCCCAATCTCTAACCATCAGGGGCAGCTTTTATCTCTTCCAGAAGTTTTATAAATAATTTCAACAGCAGGAAGAACCACGCTGGTTTGCTGACCTCAGCCCAGCTACCCTTGAAGTGTAGCTCTCACACTCTTCTTGCAGCCTTTTCACCACCACATGAGGGAGCATCCCCGGGCTCCCACTCACAGCTGCAGAGCGCTGGAGGTTGGGATGTGCTCATCCTCCCTGCACTCTGAGGCTTTTTTGCTAATTTAGGGGTAAAAACATGTTCATAATCCATGTCGGCTTTTAGTAATCATCATGTTATGTTTCTGGCTAAGTAACAGGCAGGGATTGCCCGTCACACAAAGGGGAGGGAACAAAGCTGCAGCGGTTTTGTAACCTGTGTTATGACACCAAACGTGGGAGCCAAGAGATGCTGCGGGGAGAGGGCGCAGGCAGGGCATGCCAAGAGCAACCCTCCATCCCAGCTTACACAACCTTTGCAGGGAGCACCGCATCTTTTGCAGCATGGTGATGCTTTGGGTCAACAGCAGAGGTCAGAATTGCCCTCATTTATGCAAGCACCAGACAAGTCAGAGCAGAGCAGAGCTCAGGGCTGGCTACCCGGCCCAAGGCTCTGAGAGATAAGGTGAGCTAAACTTTATGTAACTATTTTTTTTTTTTAAGGTTATTCCAGGAAAAAATGCTTCATTTCAGTGCATAGTTTTACACAATCCCAGAGAAACTCCTGGACTATATTAAGAATTAAATTAGATTTCCTGATTGTGTCTGTATGGCTCTATGCATTCACAGACATCTCTTTCCATTTCCCATCTAGTTGTGCATCATCATCAGTGGGAGAAAAGAAAAACTGTTCACTCAGAGGAAGAGAATGCTGAAAACAGCCCTACCATGAAAGAGCAAGAAAGGGCTGCTTTAAGTCTCCAGCAGCTTCATAAAGAAAGATAAGGTGGCAATTCTTAAAATGGACCATTCTTGCCAGCAGAATGGTTCCCAGCATCTCCCTGAGCAGTTGCTGAGAGCACAGCCACCCTGTTTTACAGCCAAGCTGAATGATAAATTGCAGTTTCTACTCTGTCTGAAATCAGAAACTTTTGATTCACACCAAAGCCAGGAGTCAGGATTGCAAGGTTGTACCTGTGGCACATCAGTGTCCCCTGAGCAGACGGGCAGTGCAGTGCCATGGAGGGACCTGCTGCTCCAGAATCACAATTAAACTCTGCAGTTTGTGCTCAGATGGCACTTTTTAGGTGGGGAAAAGAGGAGGGCACTTTACTGTTTGCAGGGGGCCACCCTGAAGGAGGCACAGGGACAAGAAGACAATCTGGATTTGGCAAAAACAAAAAAAGAAATGAGACCAAAAAGACCAAATCTTGGGTTCCCGTTTTAGGGCTATCCTCATTTCACCTAGATCTGTTTTGCAGCCCCAGTAATGCCTTCCAAAAGAGCCCCCCTTCCCAGCCAGGGCAGGGCACTGAACCTGATCCACCTGAACACTTTGCTGCCAGACTGTTTGGTGCTCCTGTGCCAAGCATTTTTGGCAGGAGCTGCTCGGTGCTAAGCACTTGGAAATCCAGTCTGCTAAAATCATCCCCAACAGCTCCAGCCATCATATTCACCAGGGCACCTCGGGCATTGCCAACAGCTTATTCCAACCCTCACATCTTTGCCTCAGTGTGTAAATACACGTCATGGCCCTTGTGGGGACAGGGGTGGGCGGGCAGTGTGGCCAAAACCTGAGCGCATGGCCAAAACCCGACTGTGTGGCCAAAACCTGACTGCGTGGCCATCAAACATTGCAGGGTGCCCCGAGCAGAGCTCAGCCTGCTCAGCCTTAGCCTCAGCATCCGCAGTGCCACAGCCTGCAGCAAAGCCAGCAGTGGTGGCCTGGGGACAGGCAGCAGCTTAGGGATGGAGTGGGAGCATGAAGAGGAAGAGCAGGAGGAAGCAGCCAGACAGGGAATGCTGCTGCTCATGGCACGAACCAGGGATCTAAACTCTGAAAATATACGCTAGTTGATGCACTTTCTACAGATTCTACTGCTAGAAAATGAGTTGAAAAGCTGAATCTCCCCAGTGGTCCATTAGGGAAAGAAATTATAAAACAAACATCACAATCCACCAGAAATTAATCACTGCCAAAGCTTTCTAGACATTGAAACAGTCCACCACCCCACCATTCCTTTCCCCTAGGATTGTCCCATTCCCTCCATTCCAGGTTCCTGCAAACCCATCTCCTGTGCTCAGCCTCTCTCCTCTCCCTGACAAACCCACCCTCTGCTCCTTGCAGCCAAGCCACAGAGCCTGCAGGTCCCATCTCCACGGGGAAGGTGGGGACCCAGGACCAGGGCATCACACGGTGTCCCCTCCTGCCACACCACTCTCCTGGAGCTCCCCACCCCACACAGGGAGTTTACCTGAAGGGTTATGCATGTTCCTTCTTGTCCCCTGGCCTGGGAGGATGCTGTGGTGGATTTGCTGCCTCTGCAGAGCAGGAGCTCGGTGCTTGGGTGCCCGGTGAGGGGACCAAGTCTCCTCCCTCAATCAGCAGGGCAGAGCCCCAGCCCTGGGGAGAGGCTGCGTGGGGAGGATGGCCCCGGGCTGGGGCTGCACCCGCCTGTCCCACCCAGAGCACAGGCAGCAGGTGAGATCCAACAGCATCTGACATGAAAAAACCACAACAAAAGAGCCGACTTTCAGTGCCTTTGCTTTACATAAAAGTTCACATCCTGACCTTGGGAAGCTGCTGGCTCTCAAGGAAGTAATTGTCAGTTTCATAATCTTCTAGTTACGTATCACAGACATGTCCCAGCTAAACCACCGGGTATGGGGCCAAAAATGTCCCAGGACTCTGAACCCCAGATTATCCCCATTACAAGTGGTCCTTAGCCACAAGGCCAGCACTGCCCCGTGCAGGCAAATGCTGGAGTAACCCCTGCTCTGGGGACAAGGTCTCTGCATGGGCTGGGGCAGGTCCCAGCTGATCTGCACCCCAAAAAAGGGTCCCAGGAATGGACTGGCTGAGGGAGGCATCAGGAGCAAGCATTGGGAACATCCAGGGTATCCAAAAGCCTGAGGTGGCCTGCAGCAGAGCTGGGCAGAAAGGGCTGGTGAGGAATTAAAGCAAGTCCTTAAAGAGCATGTGATGGAGCTGAGGTGGACTGTCCATGTCCTTTTCATTCAGATGAAACACAAACTGAAGGCAATGAGGAAATGTGGGCTCCCCCATGACCAGAACAGCATCTGTAACCTCTGAGATGTATCATGCAGGGCTCATTCACTCAAGGACTGTCTCAGTGTGCCTGCAAAGTGTGCAGAGAGAGCCCAGGGCTGGGCAGGGGAGGTGAACAGGATGGGGGAGCTCACACAGGACTCTTGGCAGCCCCTCTGCAGGATGGAAAGTACCGACACATGGCAGTCATTGGTGCTGGCAAGCACCTGGACTGTGGAAAGTTAATTTGTCAACTTCTCAAATGTAACAGAAGATATTTCAGTGTCCCCAGAATAGAACAGGGAAGTATAAATAGAAAATAAGTAAATGCACACAATGAAAGAGTAAAAGAAGAGCAAATAAGTCTCAGTGTTGACTGTATTGTTATTAATTAGAATAAATAAACAAGACGAAAAACCAGACTTCCTGGCATACCCAAGATTATTCTCTTTTATGATTTAGTAAACAACAAACTCCATTAGAATTGCAGTTCCTGCAGAAAGCAATAAAAGTTGTATTTAGATTGGGAGTTAAAATTTCAGATGAGTATTTGGTAAACAGGCTGAGAGCTTTAGTGTACCATCTAATCCACACACACAAGCTTTAAGGTGACTTTGGGCAAGTTGTTTCACTTCTGGGACTCTATTTGCTTCTACAAAATGGGGTTAACAGCCTGTCCTCTTTAAAAAACACTTGCCATCTGGAGGTGAAGCCAGCAGTGAGGACTGAAGTCAGGAGTTAGACACTTCTTGAGGAAGGGCTACATGGCTTTGGAGATTTTTGTCGCAGCTCTTTCTCAATATTAATTTTGAGATAGATGAAGGTTCCAAAGTGAGTTTGGCTGCAATTAAGCCTTCAAAGCAATGACACAGCGCTGTCCAATGGGTTCTTTAAGACCCATTTTTTCCTGCCTCTGCTTTTACATCCGATTTTGGTTTTCTTGATCTTTGTTTCCGAACAAGGACAGCTTTCAGAAACATGGCTGAGAAGGTGGCAAAGACAGGTTTGTGCCTTCAGGCACTGCTGGTGAAATCAAAGGAGGATCTTCCTGTGCTCAGCACACAAAGCTGTATGCCAAGGGGATACTTTGTGTGGCAACCTGAGCCTGGGGGCCTCCAAAAGCTCCAGCTGGAAGATCGCTTGGAAAAGTGAATTGTGTATCCCCCAGTCACGTGGGGATCAAAACCCAGCTCATGCCCCAAACAGCCCTTCACAAAATAAATACTCTGCGATAATTTTTTTTAAACCCATCATAAAAGCTAATATATATATATATATGTATATAGTTTTGTTCCTCAATTGAAGAGAATCCCCAGAATGTGAGCTCAAAAGTTTAACCAGCTGGTATTGATCCCCATGCTTCTGCCCCTGTCTCATCCCATAAGAGCAGCTCAGAGCTGCAGCCAGATCAGAGGCTTTGCTCAGCAAAGGAGGTTCCTGAATGATGTGAAGAATCACACAAACTGCCTTTCATAACTTTAAATTTGCTGTAGGGCATCATGTTGGAAGTTAATGTATGCACTCCTATTGTACATTTTAAGCATTATAAAACCAGCTGATTACACAACCCCATCCTGGTAGCCACACGTGTCTTCAAACATTCCTGCCACCCCTAACGTGCATCCCAGATTAGGTAATCTCGGTTTTGTAATTAGTCTCTCACATGGAGACAAGACCTCCCCTCCCAATGCCTGCTCACCCTGGAGCCTTTAAAAAGCACCTCAAAGGCACCCAGTGATGGGAGATCTCTGGATAGGGAGATTTCACCTTCTGACAGCATGCTGGTGACAGAAGAGGTGTGTGCTGCAGCAGTCCCAGGAGCCACCATGCCCCAGGAGCCCCAGCAGACAGATTTCCAGCTGGTGCGAGTCAAGAGCACGTGGTGCCGCATCAAGAAAGGAGAAGCCCTTTCCAACGACGAGGATGAGATCACTCTCTCTGAGGCAAAAATGTGAGTATAGGAAGGAGCCTGTGTTGCTCTGGCTGGCCAAACTGGGCAGTCTTCTTGGTGGGATGGAAAAACCATCTTGGGTGCCATGGCAGCTTCAACCCGCAATGACAGGATG